AAGATAACAACTCAACTACATACATAAAATCAATCAATGTGTCAACTCGTCCCTCCAACACTGTAACAAATACAATCCACAATGTTTCCAGATACACTGAAACAATAACAAAACAACACTGCACTACTAGCTATATGCGTAGTAAGCCAAAGATACACTTCTCACCACAATCTACCAGTTTACCAGGCGCTAGCTGGAAGGGTATGGTACCTTAGATTATCAGCGCGTCAGTTCTCCAGGCGCTAGCTGGAAGGTATGATACCTTTGATTATAAGCGCTGAACACATAAGTGTGTGGAGTCCATCCCTATCTTCTCACACACACAGGAGTACAACCCCTCTCTTCTCCCAAACCAGTATACAAATATAATGTAATTCAGCATTTCATCACATATAATGCAATCAACAATGGTGTATTACATACACAGCAATTCAACGCAACCGTATCATCCTCCACCGATGACCAAGACAAATCTCTAGATGCATGCATATTGTACATCTATTAACAGACCCAACTAACATGAGATTATAAAACTCAGCAACAACATGATCATGGTAGTTAAAGCTATACCCCACACAAGTATGTTCAACACTCAAGATACAACATTCCAATTTTCTTATACTTGTTTCAAAATACCTTTCCATTTCACAAAATGAATTCCACTTCCTTTGTTTACAAAATCATGCCCAAGGACAAAAGCCATAACCATTTAAATTCACTACATTCTTTTCAAAGCCATTTCGAACTAATTATGCAAATTAAGTCATAAACAATAATTAGGGTTTTCCTTCCTCCTTCTCAATATTGACCAAAAAGGCCCAATTAACATCAACAACAACAATAACCACAATTAAGACTCAAAATACCTAAGTATTTGCCCAAAGATCAAACCCCTCAATTAATTTATTAAATCGAATAAAAAGAATTAGGGTTTCTTCTCCTTTCAACAACCACATGCTAATTAACACACCAATTAGCCCAAAACAACTCTCAATGATAACATAACCATTTTCAAATAACCAACCCTAGGTTCCTCCCATGATTTCAAACAAATCCACATGGATATGATTTTTATGCAATACAAAATTACCACATGTCTATCTATAGACGAAGTATTGAAAAAGAACAAGGAGAATCCCTACCTCAAATGAAAAACTCAAGAAGAAGGTGAGTAAAACTCGGAAGTGCTCCAATCCCAAATTTCTTGGATCACAACGAAGCCCTCGACGATCAACACACTTCTTACAAAGGCCCAAGTGGGGAAAACACTCTAGCTAGATCAACCTGAGAGAGAAGTTAGTTTTAGAGTGAGGTGCTCTCCAATGGAGGTTTTGAAAAAGTAAGAGAGAGAAAGGAAATCAAAAAGTGACCAAAAATGTGATTTCACGGACTGACATAATAACAGGTCCGCTCGAGCGTACAACACTCCGCTCGAGCGTCAGACACAGGTTCACGCTCGAGCGTCCAAATTTTCGCTCGAGCGCCGGATGCACTCTCCCAGAATTTTCTGCAGACGACCAAAATGCTGAGAGAAGGAAATTCACGCTCGAGCGTCCAAACTGCCGCTCGAGCGGAAAGGCAGCAACAAAAGCCCGCTCGAGCGTCAAACCGCCGCTCGAGCGGAGAGACCAAAACCTGGGCAAAAAAATTTCAAAGCTTTAAAACACAACCAACTAATTCCCAACTTGCCCAACACAACCCAAAACTCTAAAACAAAGAGTAAGGGATAGAAATGAGGATAAGACAACAACGAATCTACGGAACTGAGTCCAGATTATAGATATACAACAACAGGGAATACCGGGATCGCTATACTGGTACTTCGTACGACCTTCAAACGACAATGGTGACTTTTCGTCTCACTTTGTAACGCCTCTCTTCCAGAAGTTAGAGATGTAAGGGAAAAAAACTAATCAATTATAAGAAATAGGTAAAATACGATGCCGTTTAACAATTAATTGGAGGGAATCCAATTTTTTTATAGAGGGAATTAAACAGATATGAACTACATTTACGGCAGTCTTCAAACAACTGCCATAAAAGACTGACCCTTTAGTTTCCTACAGTTTTTTCGTCATTAACCCTCACTTTTTATCGGCTATTTTTCGTAACCGCCGTTAATACTTAATTTTTAGAGGCGGTATCTTTACCGCCATTTTAAGTATATTTTTAACGGCAGTCTTGTAACCGCCGTGAATAAAACCGCCGTTAAAGATCAACTTTGGCGTAGTGTGAATTTCTGAAAACCCGAATGGAATTGTTGAAGGCGCTAAACCTTTCGAACAACCACCCAAATGAAGAACTCAATCCACTTTGCAATCTTCATTCTCTTAGATATCTCGATCTATCCAATAACCAATTGGCCGGATTAATTCCTACCTGTTTGGGGAACTTCAATGGAAATTTAACCTTGTTAAATTTGAGAAGAAACGATTTCCATGGTAGCATCCCACAAACATTTGGATACGCAAGCATGTTACAGGAACTTGACATTAGCCACAATGGATTGCAAGGGGTGCTTCCAAGATCATTGGCGAATTGCACGAACCTAGAAATTTTGAATCTGAGTCATAATTTCATAGAAGATGCTTTTCCATTCCGGTTGGAGAACCTGCCCCAATTGAAGGTTATTGTCTTGCGACACAATAAATTCCATGGTCCCATAGAGCAACTGAGGAAGAGATTAGCCTTCACCAATTTACATATCATTGACATCTCTTACAATGACTTTACAGGTCCTTTGCCATCAAAATACTTTGATAGCTGGGATTCAATGATGATGGCCAATGAAGACAAAGCTCAGTCAAAATATATAGCCATATATGATTATTATTCGGTGACCATAATGAATAAACGATATGAAATGGAATACGTCAAGATCCTCACCATCTTCAAATTAGTTGATTTTTCACACAACAAGTTTTATGGAAAGATTCCCATATCTGTTGGAAGACTTACAGCCGTCAGTGTGCTAAATTTTTCAGGAAATGACTTCATAGGTCTGATTCCATTGTCCTTGGTGAATCTAACTGAGCTTGAGTCCTTGGATCTATCCCAAAACAAGCTCTCTGGTAAGATACCTCAAGAACTAACAAGCTTGACATTCCTTGAAGTTTTTGATGTCTCGCAAAATAATCTAACTGGGATTATACCACGAGGCCAGCAGTATGAAACATTTTCAAACACTTCATATGGGGGAAATGCAGGCTTGTGTGGTTTTCCCTTGTCAAAGGAATGCAAGACTCCCAAGGTAGCAGAATCACGATCTTTACCGTCCTCTTCAAGCCACAATTATAAATGCAGACTTGATGGTTTTGGATAGGAAGCAGTGTTGATGGGATATGGATGTGGAACAGTATTTGGTTTGGTGATAGGAAGTTGCATCATTCGAAGGAAAGAAGAATGGCTTGCGAGAATTTTTAGAGTGAAAATGCGTCATCAGAAGAAAAGATCAAATGTGGTTAGGTACCAATGTGCACCAAGATGACATGTTCAGAACTAAATGGAGCTTGTTTGAAGTAAGGTACTACCATGTTTTCCTTTTCATTAAAGCTGTTTGTTTTTAATTTGATTGTGAACCACGATATCCCTTTTCATTTCCTACTTCTATGTTTCAAATTTGATGCTCATGACTGACTGCTAGAATATATAGTTAGTTACATGCATGTATGTAAGTAGAAAGATAATAGCTTACATGAAAAAAAAAAAAAAAAAAACTCTTTTGCAGAAATTGAATTCACTACTCTGTAATTCTAATCGCCTAAAATAACTAAATTAGATCCAAGTCGAGGAGAAGAAAACAAAATGGTAAAATAATTCATGCTGACATTAGAAATTATGAGCAACATGCTTTCAATACGAATTTATATATATGTTTTCAAGTCAAGTTAAATTTTCCCAAATAGGTGTTCATTTTTTCTTTGTTCATTTTAGTTTTTCTTTGATTTATACACATGTTTTTTTTTTTTTTTCAAAATTTTAAATCTTGCTAGATTAGAAGCACTTGAAAATAATTAAAATAAAAAACTTCTAATACAATTTTTTTAAAGATTCACTGAAAATAAAATTTTAGAAAATGTGATTTTCTAGCATTTTTCAAACATGGATGGATTTTTTATTTTATTTATTTATTTTTTATTTTATTGTCAGCTAAATATGTTGTAACTAAGGTGGGTGTTGTGTGGTGTTAGGTCGTAATTGTGTCATGTTATTTCAAGTTTGTTTCAAAATTAACTCAACATTAACACATTCCACTCGTTTGTTTTATCATATTATTGTGTCGTGTCATTTTAGGTCTTTGTTCAACTTGTGCTGTGTTAACACGTCATATCAAAAAAATTATCCTTAATTAGAAATATTGAGTGTATGAAAAAATTAAAAGTTTTCTTTACAAATTAAATTTAATGAAAATAATCTCTACTTGATGAAAAAATAAATAAAATAAAAAATCTATAGATGAAATATTTAATTTTAACTCAATTCTATTTCCCTAATTTACAAAATTAAATTCTATGTTATATTTGTTTTACTTGATTACTTCTAAAATAGTTGACAAAAAATACAATATCTTTATTTATTTATATTTTTAAATATTAGCCTCAAAATTTTAATTTAGGTTGGATGGAGCTGCATAAGGGTCCAATAATATTATGATAATCCTTAGCCCTTGTTTGGAAAGGACTGTTTGGGCTAAAATAATCAATAAAAACAAAATAGGCTAAAATAACTAATAAGACAATGTCACATTCAACTTATAATTATTTCACTTTTTCTCTCACAACCACCAAATCAGCTACCAAAAAAAAAAAAAAAAAACAAGTATTTTTTCAAACACAACTTTTTTAGCTATACTAAAATAACAAAAAAGTCAAAAAGTCAACTCAAATAACTAACTTCCCAAATGAGACCTAGTAGAAATAACATTACAATAAAATGAATTTGTACTATACATAGTATTTTTCATAGAAAATGACACATGTATTTTTGTATTTTAAAAAAACAAAAAATTGAATAAATTGTCCATGTTATGCATAATATTTTTCATAATAAGAGCTTATTTCTATAAAAATAAAAATAAACATGGGTTATTTTTTAGTATAAAGAATTCAAAAATATCATGATGTGATAAATACAAACATTACCATATTGATAATAAATTATTAAATATAAATGTGTTTTGAAATTAATAATTATTGAAGCCTGGACAGTTTCTTAAGCGGTCATGAAGACGATACTTAAGTGCTAAGATGAGTAAGATTTTAGATTTGAATCTATGGAGAGATGCTGACCTATGTTGTAATCTAACTACTAATATATTAACCGTTATCTTAAAAAAAAAAAAAGATTAATAATAACTCAAAAATAAATTTACTTTTCAAATGGTAGACATGATAATTATTACATATGAATCAGATAATCAATTATTAATTTCATTTGAAATGCAATAAACCAATGATTGAGTGGCATGTCTATTTATGAGTTATAACTAATAATCAATTGTTAGTTACAAATTTTGTAGTTCTTAGTTATAGTCATTATGGTGTTGGTTATGATTTAGTTATGAGCTATTATTGTTATTTTAGTTATTTTTTAAGAGGTGTTTAGTTATGACTGAAATGATATTTGGTTATGACTCATTTTAGTATTGATTATGACTTATTGTGATATTAGTTATGACTTATTTCGATTACTATTTTAGTTATGAACAAAAAAAATTCTTATTATACCTTAAGTGATATTTGATTATGATCATTTTTTTTTTAGTTCGGGCAATTGTTATAATAGCATCACAATTATGATAAATTATATTATACACACCCCAAATAGTGATGTGTATGGTGGAGGAACCCATACGAAGCCCACCTTAAGAGTTCTCTTCGAGGCCCAAAATTTCAGGTTTGACCATGTAACGTTGCATTGCACCCAATGTAACGTTGCATTGCATTTCAGGTTCTCCTTGGATCCAGACATGCCCGAAAGATCCTTGCAATGCCACCTGAAACAAATAAACAACTCCGGTCAGCGGTGTCAAGATTAGCACTCCGACGGTCTAGTCAGTTCTGCATTTGGGTAGTCGTTATTTTTGTGTTTTCTTGGAGTTTAAGTTAGTAGCACATACCTCTTTCCTCAGTTCATCTTTTATAGTTTTTTCATGGACCTGCCTTCTCATCACGCTATTATGGAATGGGCCAACAGTTGGGTCCAACCAGACCCTTCCGACTACCCTGGACTACTCAACTTCTACATATGGCCTGAATATTTAACTCGGCTTTCCCTGTGGGCCCTAATGCTTATTCGACAACGATTCCTAGCCTGGGCTTCGATTTTACATGGCCCAATTGACATGACCAGCTTGAAGTTGATTATTTATATTCGGCTTCCACAATTGCCCCCCCGAGTATCCGACATTCTCGGCCACTGAGCAAGTTTTGTTCAGCTAAAATTGTCAAGACATCTTGAAAGTCGAGAACATGGCTCACGCGCTCCAGGTTTTACCCCGACCTTTGTTGTGTTCCAGACATTGGGTTCCGTGATTGTATGTTGTTGTGTAGGTCTTGTTTCCTTCCTTTTACTCTTTGCATTTGAGTTTTGGGACTTGTTGGGTGAGTTCGGAATAGGTTGGTTGTGAGTTAGTATAGATGGTTGTTGCCTAGGTTTTGGCCTCTTCGCTCGAGCGAGGCTTTTTGCGCTCAAGCGAGCCTTGGGTATTTGCCTCTTCACTTGAGCGAGGGTTCTTGCGCTCGAGCGAGGATTGAGGGTCTTCAGGTTTCTTTTCAGACGCAGCTTCCGCTCGAGCGAGCTTTCTTGCGCTCGAGCGTGCGTTTGCGTTGTGGTAGACCTAAAACTTTGCATTGTGCTCTCGAGCGATGCTTATTGCGCTTGAGCGAGTCCTTTTGTTGTGTTTGATCGCTCAAGCGACAACTCCTTCGCTCGAGCGACAACTCCTTCGCTCAAGCGAGCCTCGCATATATCAGTTCGCAGCAGAGATGGTTTACACCATTTTTGACCCTCTTGCTTCTTCAAAACCCTAGATCGGCAGCTCCTCTCTCTAAAACACACTCTCTCTACAAACACTCCATGTTCTAGGGGCTTTCTACCCTACTTCCTTGGTAAAAGAACTAGAGTTTTGCGTGGGTTCCTTTTGATCCAAAAAAGACGGGATTTGGAGCATCTTTGGGATTCTCTCTTCTTCTTCTTGGAGCTTCTACACTTGAGGTAGGGATATTCTACTCTCCTATATGGGTTTTAACCTAGATTTGTGTCATTTTGTATAAATGGAAAGACTTGGGAGTGATTTGGGTAGAAATTAAGGTTTGGGCTCTAAACTAAGAGGGGTTTCCATGTTGACTTACAAAGATAACTTGGGGGTTTGAGTATGAGGTTCCTTATTGTTGAAATGGTGAGATTTAGACCTATGGGTCAATGTTTTGGGATTGGGGAAAAGTTGCCCTAAATAGAGTTGAATCAACTAGTTGTGTAAATAATGAAATTGGTTTGGAAATTATGAAATTGGGGGAAAATGTGATTAAATGATGTAGTTGGAATGATAAATCACTCACCTATGGAGAAGTTGATAAATTATCCGTTGATAGATTTATTTATTTGTTTAGAAATATTTGTTTTGGGTTATCCGTGGAGGATAGCTATGATTGTTGTAGAAAATGCATAATGATTAGGTGAATTGAAACTAATCAATTGTGAAAAATCTAGAAATTCCCTAGATATTGATTTGTGATTATGTAACAATTTTAAGCAGTATATAACAATCCCAATCAAACAATCAAGACAAATCAACACAATGATTTTAACGTGGAAAAACCACAATTGGACACCTCTAACTGTGATTAAAAAACCACAGGCAACAGCCACAAAACAATCCACTAAGAAGATTTAAAGGAATTACACAGGTATACTCTCAATTACCTAGCGAATCCACGCCTAATTGAACCAACCTCTATGTGCCTCTTCCGACCCGTCTTCAACTCGGAATTGTCTTTACGATGAGCCACCCCGGAATCCACCAAAGCTTCAGGCTCGAATTCTTCAGAATCCACTGAAGAACAACTCTCTCTTTTGTAGAACAACCAAAACCTTTGATGTACTGTCTTTAAACCATGAGTTGAATACTCAAATAAAACATCAAAGAAAACTAGCAAAATATCCCCAGATATAAACCTTAGAATCCAAAAAGAAGATCTGGAGGACTTATGGAGTTGTCTAGTTTTGGGAGAGAACCAACTACTTATAGAAAACCAAAAATAATCCTAGATTTGGAAGAAAACCCAATCCTTATTGAAATCCGAAAAACTGTGTTCGCGCGGT